AGATTTCACATAGCATTTTTATTGACTCGAATACTGACTCTCTTATTAGTTGGGCGGAAGATCATTGAATTTCGTTTATTTATCCAATAACTGGTTTTATTTTCATATTAGTATGTTAATTTACCTATATTTTCACGTTGTTTTCGAAAAAAAAGAATGCTGTTTTTGAGAACCATGCTTCGCCAAAAGCGTCCTTTTTACGTTAGGGGACCCAGGAAAGCCGTTTTACTATATGTTTTAAGCTTTTTTCGAATTAGTCATTCGACAGAGCAAAAAGGCTGTATTTATTATGAAATTTTCAAGATTATAACTTATAAGGGTTACATACCCGAGGCCGAGAACAAATGGAAACGGCAAAAGACGGCACTTTTGTGATTGCTATAAGTCGATCAAAAATCACTTAATTAGTTTAGGAGATGGCAGAAATAAACAAAGCAGACATGTTTTATTCGATACATTTTCTCACAAAGTAAACTTAGATATGATTAAACAGACATCATACAGAACGCAATATGATCCATATAGCAGTGGGGCTTGATATCCCTTAATTAAAGTAATTGATCGTCGTAAGTTTAGCTGGAACAGTTCTAAGTATTCAATCGACACAGAGCTCAATTAAAAGTGTTAAGAAAAAGATGGCAACTCTAACTTCCCTCTTTATTAAAATAAGTCTAAAAGAAATAAAGCTAAAAGTAAATTAAATCAAAATAACAAAGGTTTGTCTTCTGTTTTTTTTTATTACTGGCAAAAAAAACAAAGAATATGAACATAATACATACTTATCAAAGTTTCAATGTTTTTGTCATGATAAAATGAACTTTATCGAAACTGAACAATTACAGTTGCATCGCAAGCAAGGTTATAATGGCGCTCGATGGTTCTATAGTTATGGCCAATTATGTCAATATAATACTCAATTACGCAGCTTTACTCTGGTTTCATTGATATGTCATCAACTGCGAGGGTGCCACTTATGGATATGAGATTAGGATGGGAATGGCCAGACCAACAGATACGACAGGCACAAGATGAGTATATACGTTCAAGTAACCGATTTGATTTGTTTTTAGACACCCACCAAGACAACCACTACCCAATGCCAAATCCAACAAATACCGACCAACAGTACTTCAACGCGCAACGGCATCCGGCCCCGCAAGTACAATCACGGTGCACAATTCCAAGCTCGAAACAAACCAAACCGTACGCACAACCAAACAACGCCCAACAGCATGTCGCTCCACCAATTACATTATTGGTCGATAATCCACGCGGACAAAGCACCACGGCACAGCAGCACCAGAACACGACAACAATACCAACCACTAAATCAAATCATGTCATATTATCAGACTCAACAATGCCACGATTCCGACTGCCGCAACTCTGCAACAACACGGTCAACATTCGTATAAAATCCAACTCCGGCTTTGGTGTACGAGACTACACCAACAAATCACCAGTGGTCAGCTGAAATATCTATTAGCGCAAACCAACGGCGTTACATTCGTTATTGGCACCAACGATATTGCATGGAACCCCGCGAACACTGTCATAAAATAGGTAAGTGAACTTGTGACGACTTTGCGCCGTTTTTACCCGACAATAGGTAGTATCTCGTTTGTCAAGATCGTGTACAGAACAAAAAACACTGCTTTTCACAATTTTTCGCAAAAGATTTTACACGAGGAAATCCAAGCATATAACCAAAAACTAGATGACCTGGTAGCATCTCTAAATTTTAAAACTCTGTCCTTCGATCTTGACAAACGAATGCTAGCCGACGGTCTCCACCCCAACTTCGAAGGGCGCCAGATCATTTTCCGAGCCTTTCATCAATTTTTCCGCACATATACACCCACTGTCGTAGAAGAGGACCCTTTTCGAGACGCATATCCCGAGAATACTATTTCCTTGCTTCCGCATAATTTTCTGCCTGAAACCGTACTTATCAATATACCACCATTAGAGATAGTTGACCCAGCCACTCTGTTTTACCTACAAAAACTACGTTTTCTAAAAGAACACTTCTCTCTGAAACTTGATCGTTGGTATGAATATGTCGACGCTGCAAACCCTGAAGAACCCGAATCTGAACCCGAGCCTCAAACCCCTAATCTGATAGATATGGAGGATGATGAAGTCATAACACAAAAACCCACTGAGGACCCATTTCCAGGACGCTTTCCGATACTTGCCACCGAGGTCTTTAATCATTTCACGAAAGAAAACATCCCATTCGACTTTGAGAAACTAAAAAGTGAGTACAACAAAATTTTCAACGTTTTTCACGTGCTATCACACACGCTCACTCTCTCTCTCGCCGCCACAGCTAAGGACCTAATCTTTGACGAACCGCCACCGCAAGAAAAAGTAGATGGTCTTATAGACATTCTGGATACCTGGCAGACAAACATCATTGATCCTTTTCTAGAGTCTCTATTCACCACCAATGAGAAGCGCCTTAAGAACCTAGTAATAGATCAAGCGCTAAAAAAGCACCGTGACCTCTTGAATCCACCGAACGGAAGACGAAGATGAGAATATTCGACTGATGCTTGACTTGACAGAAAGACGTGACGAATTGAAAGCTCACCTAGCAAAACTCGAAGCCCGACTCAATTTTAAGGCTCCACCACCGTCTCTGAATGCTTTCGACGTTACACTAAAAACGCATCTACCCATAGACTGTCCTGAAGTCTTTCCCATCATAGAACGCTGGAATAACACCTTACGGCAAACAAAGTTGACTTTAACCGAGTGTATGATTTTAACTAAAAACCTCCAGATAGAAGCAAATTGAGAGAGAAATTCATAACGTTCGCCAAAAGCTGATATCCCCCGTTAACCCCCTCTTTCTCGTGCACATCGACATTATCCTTTCAAATCTGTCAAAAAGGAACGAACAAAAGACTCGTAAAAAAGTTCATTTTTTAGAGAAAAGTGCAAAAAAGCAGCCTCCACCGTAAACCTTATACAGCCTTATGCAAAATCAAAAGTCCATCCCCACTACACCACTATCAGTTTCCCGCCTCAAATTAAAAATTACGCCATCAATCTAGACAGTCATCAGCGTCAGGTACTAAATTAAGGTCCAGCGTATGTTTCACCTAATCCGATAACAGCGGTTCGTCGCCTCACCTCTGAGATTTAGACTATGCGCTAGAAAATTCAAGCCCGCTTCAACGAAGAAATTCGAGCTCCCGATATTCCTCGCCCAATAGTTGATTCTTTTGCCGATCGAGTAGATTTTGAATTGAGAGAGCAAATCTCCAAGCAGCGTTCTGATCCACATCTTTCCGAAGCTATTAGGACCCTCCAGAAACAACAATCTCAGGACAGAGTCGTATTTCGAAAAACTGATGAGTCAAAAATATTCCACTTGGATACTCCAACTGCATACCAAATCAAATCAGATGCCTATATGGAGAAAACTAATGCGTATGAAGAAATCCCTGATAATCCTTTCCAGCACACTGTATCTGAATTAGACGAGCTCTTAAGACTATTTCTTCGACAGAAACGCATCACCCAGAAGCAGGTAGGTAAATTAACATACTAATATGAAAATAAAACCAGTTATTGGATAAATAAACGAAATTCAATGATCTTCCGCCCAACTAATAAGAGAGTCAGTATTCGAGTCAATAAAAATGCTATGTGAAATCT